GGAATAATTTTCAGATACGGTTTGAGAGCTACTATAGGCCCAGGACTATTCCCAGTTGGCCATCTGCGTATGGCCACCCTATATGGAAAGCTGGGAAAAGTCTTCTAAGACAGCTTATAAATGAGCCCACACAAATACTAGAAAACAATATGAATGTTGGTCATTCAGTGCCTCAGACTAGTAAATGGTCTCAGGCACATAAAATTTCCTATGATGGATATAACCATACAGGTGCAGCCAAAAACTAAGGGTACAGGTGAAGCTAAGGTTGCTTAAGTCAGTCACACCACCTGACTCCACAAGGACAAACCAACAAAGAGAAAAAGAAGATACAGCTTGGTGATAAGTCGGATGGCTTTTTCCAAATAAGACATTTATCAGAACTGAGTTTCCAGCATCTTCAGAGATGTGGGGGAGCAGGTCCCACAGGCTCACTCGGCTGCCAGAGAATTAGTCCTCCACAGAGACCTGCACAGAGCATTATCCTTTCCCAAAACTTCATAGCTGCTCAGCTGAAATAATTCAATACCTTCAAAGAAGAAAGGACAAAGTATTCATACCATGCCATGATGCTATATTTAGCCTGTCCTAATTTAATTTACCTCAGTAAGAAAATGTTGAGTCAGCAGATATGTCACAATGGCCTAGTATAACCTAGTGTCAGAGTTTTTCACACATTTTTGACTGGGCACACTTTCTTTTATGTAATAGTTTGGCCTTTGTCTCTTCCCTGTTCCCACATACATCCATATGCCTCTACCAGTTCTAAGGGAGAAACACAACCCTACCCGTGGTATTCACAGAGCCGTGACAAACCCATCACTGCCCTCCAGCTCAGCTTGATTTGCCATTGTAGAATGGACAGGGATGGGCCAAAGGGGATGAGGAAAAGAGAGTCGCTGCCAAGTCAACCAGACCACTGTGTCCCAGCATGGACCCAGCCAGTCACTCCACTTGCCTTACATCCCCCTACTGCCACTGGCTCTTCGCCTAGCTGTCAAGAGTAAAGATAATTTAGAGGGAAAGAGAGAAATGGGGTGAAGGAAGGGACAATGTTAAAATGCAATTTTCTTTGGGCTTTTCATGTCCTACCAAGATTATTCAGCTTCCCTTCAGTCCATGAAGTGAGAGCGTCCACCCTGTTAAGCATCTTTCGAGCCAAAAAATAGATTAAGAACTTGGAAACAGCCTTGGTATATATCTGAAGGAAATACAACTCTCAGAAGTATTTGAAAATTATCCTAAATTTTGTAAGACAGTCAACAGCACATACTTGGCAAACAAAGAGGCAATTACACCCAGGGAAAACTGCAATAGCACTTATTTGAGAACTACAGACACGTGAAAGTCTCTTAGAAACTCCAAAAAAATATAACCTATAACCATCACAGGTATCAATGGACAAAAAGAGCTTTGAACTAACATAAAAACTTTAGCAAGAGCATGTAAGAATGTCCATGCTGTGGCAAACTGGCTTTCAGCAAAACATTTTGTTCAGCAAAAGCTATCAGATGCACTAAGTGTTTGAGGAATTTTATGTGCCAGGTCTGTGAAGGATGACCAGCAGATACTGATTTGGCACATCTGGGAATTCCTGATATTGACAAACAATAACGCTTACCATGGAAAATGTGTCATAAACTACAAAACGACACAAATCATAACATAACTATCCCAGAGTCACCTCATAGAAAGCTTAAAGCACCAAACATTTCTAACAAAACAAAACCACCAAAACCAAACGCACCATGCCATTAAGGACCAGAATAGTCTTTACTGAATAAAAAAGACAACACAAGGAAAGAGAATGGAGGGACAGTGGTTTAGGTTATAGATGGTTTCACAATGCCCTTCACAGCTTTGCCCCAAGAGTTCCACAATCGGTCACTTCTGGACCTCAAACAGGAGATCCAGAAGGGAATGATTTCAGAAGGGTGTATTCCAGATGAACTTAAATGAAATCTCATGAAGCACGAACAAATGACATTTAAAAACGGATGGCATCAGCACTAGGACCAAGGAAGCTTGCTTTTCTCAGGGTTTCTGTCTTGTGATCGACTGAGGGCTGCAGTTGATTTTTTTTTCTCATGGATATGGCATTTATAAACATTTGCCACCATGTGGATTCTCTTTTGCTTAGTACCATGTGAGCCCATGAATGCCCTTCTTCACAGGATTTCTCTCAGGATTTTCTCTCCTCACCCAGCAGGGCATATTTTCAACAAACTCATTGGAGCTCCCTGCCCCCCCCTTTAGAACTCAGATATCTGTCAAATTCATTTAAATCATCTGCAGAATTATAAACTGCTGGTGAGGTTTGAGAAAGAGGAGAGAAACTAACTTTTATGTGCCAAGGAATTGCCAAAGTCCTGTACCTTTTGCAACCTGACTACAAACAAGGAAGATACAAATCTTTAATAAGAGAAGCATCAGGTACTCTTAAGTATGGGTAGTCTCATAAGGTAAACATGACATAGTATTGTTTAACATTATTTATTGTTTAAAATAATTAGAAATATCTATCTTTTTTTGAAAATTAAAAATCAGTGACGTGGTACGATTTCCTTTTCAGGATGAACACTCTCCACATTTATGACACGAAGAGTGGCATGTTTGAAGAGTACATATGCACAGATTCAGGAGAAATCCCAAGTGCTGACTGGTGAAGGACATAATGATCTGGACGAAACTTACAAAGCGACAATGTATTACTGTTGGTTCAACTCCCCTGAATTCACCACAAAGAAAATTCCAGAAATCATCCAGTCCCCTAGATCAACATAACAGAACTAGTGCAACTTGAAGCTGTACTTTGGGACTCAGAAAATCCAAAGTCTCTGATTATGTTAAATTTGTCACTCCACAGCTTTTTCCCAGCTATAAGCTACAAGCAAATCATCAAATACCAAGTAGCTATGACAATTACCACACTGACATGTCATCTATTCTGAGGAGACAGAGCAGCTGCATAGCATCATTTATGAAAAGCAACATGAAAATGTTAAGAATTATGAATGGTTTAATAAATGAATATAAATAGGTCACTTGTAGCTTTATGATAATTGAATTAAAACACAACAATCTCAATAAACATATATTTTTATATATAAAAGTGTTGTTTATTGTAAGGAAACTTTAAATATAACCAACAATATTGAAAATATTGTGACTGGCATTTATGGCCTTGATTGTAGTTTACTGCTGTACAAGTAATTTCTAGCATTTTTCTTAATCACATCAAGCTAGTGCAAAATATAGGTAGCTTTTAGAGATTAAGCGTACAGAATGACAAGAGTGTAGATTTTGGTTACCTGATATTTCCTTCTAGTATAACAGGCTTCTCTTTTTTCCATAAATCAAAAGTACAAAGGCAAGTTATCATATGTGCAATTATTCATACCAGGTTTCTAGGTAAAAAAAAAAAAAATTACATTTATAAATTTTGCTCAGATTGTATTTTGTTAGGAATCTGACTTATAATTTATACCATACTGTATGATATAAATTATATATTGTAATCATGTTATATAATCATAATTTCATATACAGGTATGATTATATAACTTGTCAGAACATATCACTAACTATAGGATAATAATTACATCAACATACACAAATATATGGCATTAGAAAAGTCATTATCTAAGAAGGAAAGATGTTATAATTCAGGTGTTTGAAACAGGGCACAAGCAGCCTTCCTACAATTCTTGTAATATCATTTTGGCAGAACTGCTGCCAATTGCCATTACGTGCACTAGCTTTCCATGTACATCAACAGACAGGCCAGTAAGCAGTATTAAAATTGGGCTGTGCCTGAAATTTCCAGTCACAGACCTTGTAAGCAATGAGCCCTGTGCTCCTAATTAAGATAATATTCTCTCTCCTCAGTCTCAGAAGCTATCCCATGCTATTATGGCTAAAAAGATATTATTTTACGATGACCTACAGGTTTTTGAAAGCAGGACATATTAGCTTTAACAATGACATACTTTCCAGACATGTGCAAAGCTTTAGAAGTATTAATCTTTCAAATTAAAAATATTTTTGTACTTCCTGATGAGGATTTTTCAAGAACAAGCGTAGTTTAGCATGGCTTTCGATATCAATCCCTTCAGTAATTGAATCTGGTCTTTGACAGCTAAGATTAGACTGCAAGAAGAGAGATATACAGAGATCATTTAATTTGAAATAGGTAAAAGGTTTAACAAAAAAGGTGAGACCTAAAAAAAATTAACTAGAGAACAAGCATAGATAGAGAAGACAAAATGCATAAATATAAAACAAGGGAGAAGGAAAACAATATAGGTTATCTATGATCAGGTAGAATGTGACAATGATTATCCCTTTGCTTTTAAAGCATTAAGGTTAATTTGTCAGCTGTCCTCACTCTAGACTGTACAGAATACACGTAACTAATAAAAAAATGCAGTTTATTGCAAAAATATACAAGTCCTCTGAATTGCATAAGATATTACAATGTCGTGCTGAAACATGACATATTAAACAAAGAGGACTTTAAAACAAATTACAAAATGTTAAAAATCAGATTTGGGTCATGAGCGTTACAGGAAATGCATCGTCATGCTTTATCTTACGATTAGTCTTGTGATTCACTACATCTGTGATAAATGCAACATAAAATCATGACAACTCTAATAGTCAGAAAGGAATATCTACTGTATATCTTCTGTATTAATACATATAAACACTTTGTGTGCACTAATACTTTCAACATATCACATTCAAACTAACAGTCTTTCCAGGAAAGTTGTAACCTTTTTGAGAACAGAAGCTGGTTTGACAAGTTCATTGCATGTGGGTTTTTTGAAATCTATTCTTTAAGGAAATTGTGTGTTAAAGGACTTGATTTTCAAAGGTGCTGTGCCACTTCAGGTCGTCTCAATGACAGATGGAACCATCAGTGCCAAGCACTTTCAAAAATCAAGCCCACAATTTATTAAATTCCTGTTTTATTTTCTAGTATTTCCACTGAAATAAGTCCAAAAAATACCCCTGAACCCACTCTTAAAATCACAGAAAATGCTTGGCATCTATAGGAAGAGAGACAATTTCTCAGTGGACTAACCACTACTGTGCTATATTCTCATAACAGATCTTGTTGCTCCAATGTTTAGTTCACGCACTGGGATCAGCAATGTCCATGTTTGTTCCAAACAGAGCAACTAGCTGCTCTTCATAGTTTGCAATGTTTCGTTTCAGAATTTCCATACAAGGTCCCAAAAGCCTTTCAAATGCTTGCACATCCATAACTAAGATAAAACAGGAGAGAAAGAGAAAGAATATAATGTGCTTGTCAGTTGCAGACACTAATCTTGGTGTCATCGGTCATGACATTCCAGTGTAAAGTTTTAAACAGGACAGATACTACTGAGGCATATACTTTGTTTGCACAGAAAAGAACCACTTACCGTAGCAAAACCAAGATCAGCCAAGACATTGCTGTCTTGAAACTTCATAATCAAACTTAGAATTTGCTGCGTTTCTTATTTTGAAAGTATTTTCATATTAAGATTTATTCACCCAAGCGCTGCTGAAGAAGTCTGGAGGGGCTTGGATTTCTCCACAGAAAGGGTTCTAAGACCCTTGAGATTTCAAAAAACCACAGCCTTTGCTGATGTCGTTGGCTGTATTTGGGGTCTGACTTAGCATACTTCCTTGCTCTTTTTACTTGCTTCCACCCACAGTGGAAACTGTAATAGATGTTATTTCCCAGCAAATGTACGAAAATTTGGAGGCAGTAATTCATGTGCAATGTCAATGCATAGCCAACCAGCATATTTTCTTTACTTGGTCACATATCGTTATCCTCTATAGTTCGAGCCAATAGGCCAGGGAGGAAACTTCATACTTCAACGACTTTCCAACCTGGTGGCCTGTAGTCTCTTGGCTCATGAGAAAAGTTCAAGATCTCTGCTATTTGGGAAGTGCCAGAGATCTTAGTGACTCACCCAGACTAGGTAATGACACTCTTCCTCACCACTGACTCTTGTTCTTTCCTCTCTATCATCTTTGATCTTTATTGCCTGATCATCTGTGCGTGTTTGGAGGTAAGGATTTAAAAAAATAATACCTTCATAAGTAAGTGAGAAACTTTTTGGTTACTGGCTTGCTAATCAAACTGTCATTCAAGAATGCCAAATCTGTCTTTGCAGTTTACAGTTTTCCCATAATTAGACACAAATATTTAGGAGCTAAACATTAGACCATGAAAAGCAAGGAATGTGAAGGGTTGTCTATGAGCACAGCTCCTATAGTCTTTGCTTTTGCTGTGCCTGACGCTAGAGTGCGACAGAACGATTAAATTAACAGCTGATCAAGACAAAGAACTAGTTAAAGCTTAAATCATCGTGGTAAAATGGGACAGGATTCTTACCACAGTTACTTCTTGGTTAAGGGTCAGTCTACTGAGAAAAGAAATAACTTTACCTTTCTGCACAGTATTAGACATGTATCTGATAGCTATACATGGTTTGCAGCAATACTCTCTGTATGTACTTCCATGCGATCAGAGAAACGTTGGAGAGTTTGTGTTTAATACCAGTTATCAATTGCAAATAATTTCTGCAGATAAATAATGTAAATAGGAATGCACACTAATAGATTATGTACTTAAAGTGTCTTATTTGGGTAAATAAAATTAAATCTTATTTCTGGAGAAAGATAGAGTTCACAATAAAAACATCTAGATAGGTTATGTATAATTTTATATTAGATATAAAATATTATTGAACAATACCTAAACATTTGACAGTGCCAAGAGCAAATGCAGAGGCGGCTCGCGGTTTGTTAGTTACAAGAGCAAGTTCTCCAAAATATTGTCCTCTTGAGCATCGAGCTATTTCGACTGCTCCATTCTCTTCTACATCTTGTTTACCCTGAAATATGAAGTAAAAAAAAAAAAAAATGAGAAAGGAAGAGCATGTGAGAGATTTGTGAACTCAGGATTGCATAAGCAAAATTAGTAACAGTGATAGCATTACTGTTTAGCACTTAGAATACATCAAGATTTTTAAAAAATTAAATTCTGTGGTTTAGGGATGTTTACCTTCCTTGTCATTATAATCCTTACTTCTCCAGATTCCACAATGAAGAAAGAATCAGCCGAGTCACCCTATAAAAAACAGAGTAAAGGAAATGTGAAATTCCCTTTTTTAGTTTCATGGAAACATTAAAGATTTTCAGCCAGTGCCTTGAAGCTCATCTTTTTGATACCTGCTGCAAGAGAAATCACTTTTAATGTGAAAACCATAGTCTAAGCAGATAGTAATCAAAATATCTATACAGAACAGACAGCAAGGCCTGTTCATGAAAAGACATAGCTGACTGTGCCTTAAACAAAAAGCAGAGAAAAACAATGATATGGAAGATTTTAGGATCCTTACTCCTGTTTCTCCCCCTTTGTATTCCTTTCAAATTATTTACCTTAGAGAGTTTCCAGTAGCAAAGCCTCCAAGGGCTATCTGATATCCAGTAATTATTTTGGGGCAAGACAATCTCAGTATCTCAGTTGCCTACCCTGAGGAGTTTACTTCTGCATTCTTCTTCAAGAGATTATAATATTTTAACAACAAAACCAAGGTAAGTCTTCAGTGCTCCTTACTGAAAGTAATCATTCTGGAAGAGTTTGAATTTTTAAGTGTACTACAAATGTTGACTCCTTTAATCATACCAACAAAGAAGGATGTTTTTCAAAGTACTGTAAGTGAAAAATTAGCTTCTGAAACAAAATAATCACCTCTCTTAGATGCAAGATCCATTGGTTTTGTTTCATCTGAGAAAAAAAACCCCATAGTTTAAAAGTACGTGTTGTCTATAGATAACATGATAATTGTTACCTATTGGGAAGAAAAACTAAAACCATAAATAAACTGTACCTGAGCAATGATTTGTTCTCCGTCTTTATACACTTTGGTGCCAATCACATCAACCACTTTTAAACGCTCAGATACCTTCATTTAAAAAAAGAAAATGTAAAAAATATTTGGTTAACATTACGATATTATATTTAGAAAGCCCTTTCATATTTTTCTTTTCATACACCTTTGCAGAGATTAGTGTATCTTTATTTTCCTGTTTTGATAATCATTAAAAAACTAAGAATTGCTGAATAGTGTTCCAGAGGGTATATTATAGTCTTAACAGTTAGGTGTTTTGATAGAGCTTCCATTTTTGTAAGAAGTCTATATAGCCCAAGTCTTCAAAAACGATTTTCAGAAAAGCATGCATGTAAAAATATAGCTGTTAACCGAAAATATTTCAAAATTCCCTAAGTCATTGCTGAATTTTATTGGCTAATATCTAGTAAAATGAAGCTTAAGAAAATGAAGGCAAAGGTAAAAAAAATATTTTTTTAAAAAATACAATATTAACTATAGTTCTTTATCCTGAAAATTTAGAAATATCAAAAATATGGTCTTTCTCCAAAACAAAAGTATGTAAAATTTTATTGTGAAGAAAATCTGAATTCCAAATTTAAACTCTACAAAAGCAGAATCTTATCAGGTACTTCTGACAAAGCCATTAAAATAATGCAATAGAAATCTTACTTCTAAAGATTTAAGGAATGGCAATGACTCAATAAAATTTTCATACATTCTTCTCTTTTTGGCATTATTTTTCACAATGATTCTTCGGAACGTTACCCTGTCCTGTAAACACAAAGAGATAAAGAGAGCTTTTTAACAGAAAATACATGTGTGGTAGAAAATACTTCAGAAATGGCTGAATATGTTCAAATTACACAATTTTAGGCAGTCAATGTAGCTGTCACACTAGCTGGCTAGTCTCCCCATGCAGTCAGTTGAGGAAGATTCCTCTAGAGGTCAATCAAGAGCTCCTAGTTAAGCTCCTGGTCTGATTCTCGTTGTGAAAGCTTCTCTGCCCTTGGGCAGAGAATACGTATAGAGTTTACATATAGAGGGTAGAGAGCTTACCTTAAACAGGTTGGCTACACAATGAATCCTGAGTGGGTAATTTAAGATATTTAAGAAATCCTCAATATTTAAATATTTAATTTACAAAGTGTCTTCATTATCCTGAGGTCCCATACATATTGATATGTACTCAAAGAGATTTTTATATTAGTATACAAACAAACCCAAAATACATGGGTTTGGGTCCCAGGTCACAATCCACTTTCTGCTGTTTCAGCAGAACAAGACTCATTGCTGCCCTAAATAGCCAACTGGACGTTCCTTAGTATTTGGCAATCCAAGTGAAGCAGACAGATGGAAAAACTACACGTGTGTTGTTTTCTTCTCTTAACTTCTGGTGACAGACAGAAGTGAAATGCTTTGCAAGCCTTCACTGCTACAGGTGGGACTTGCTGGCGAAGACAACCCAGTGCAATTAAAGCCATTCCTGTGGTGTCCTAAACTCTGCAATGATCCCACAAGTCATGTGGATTAAGTTAGTGGAAAAACATGCATTTCGCTTCAACAGGAAAATGTTATCTTGGGATCAGTCATTAGAGTGATAGGTACATCTTGAAGAAGATGGCTATCCCAGTTTTACTCTTCTAGTAAATTCTATTACTGTTGTCAAAGATCCAGATAGCATAACGCTGATAAATAAACTCATATTTGAATTTTACTCTGGAACCAAGGGCATTTCCTATTAAGATGTGGGAAAACATTTTATATATGCGTCTAAGTAATTGTCAAGTGGTTTGCAATTTGGGAAATTATTATAAAACAAAATTATTTTTTAAAAAACTCAAGTGTTTTCTTAAGCCTCAGGTTTGCTTCTGCAGATTCTAGAAAAGACAATATTGTGTTGGGAGTTCTCAGAATTTTTAAAATGAATCTTTCCAAAACTATAATTAATTTTTTTTAATGCTGATATAGCATACCAGTGCAATTTATATAAACTAATTAAAACAAATTATATCCTAAAACAAGTATTTCACTTACCAAACCCCAGATGGCACCAGGAGAGGTAGCTATAATTGTAGCTGCTCTGGGTGTATTGTACATTAAGGCCAACTCACCAAAACTTCCTCGGTTATCATAGGTTCCAACACACCTCCCAACACCATCGCATTTTACATAAATATCATATGTACCTCTGTTAATAAAATATATAAATACAGTTAGTAGAATCCAGCCCTGTTCTTTGCTAAGCAGCCTCTCACTATACTTTTTATACCATGAATTCCAAAGACAAAGCATTTGAAATACACACTTTCTTGTTTAAATGATACTAAAGACCTTGCAGAGACATCTCAATCACTTCCATAAATAACAAAAGTAGTTCCTTTATAAATGGGAAGGATAGGGTTATTAGTTTTTACATTAATTCAGTTTAAAGGTAGACTGGATGTACAGTGATCTGTTGATCATCAGCACTTATTAAAACTTAAGATCTAACTTAGTATCTGTTTCTTAATTGCATTTTAAATGCACTAAATACAAATGTAACAAGTCTTTGCAAAAATTGCTATGATATAATCACTGAAATAATAATACAGAATATTTAACATTTAAAATATTTTAAAGTAGAAATTTATAATAGAGAAGATGCAGGAAACAGAAGGAATGTATATGAAAAGCAACATAAGATTATGAAAAAAAGATATGTATTTATCTAATATATTGTGGATTTCTTCTCCTCATCATTAAATCAGTAACTTTGCTTTGGGAACACAGTAAAACCTGTTATCTCGTAAAACATGACATAGCCATCCCCATTGATGCTAAGCCATCATTTTGTTCAGTGCTGAATACTTGTATGGTATGTGTTGATAAATCATGTGAATGTAATGCAAAAATCTGTACAATGATTTCATTGATAAGGGACTTAGAGGTGACTCACTGCACCTAAAAACTTCAAGGCTGACAGAATACCGTGAAGTCCCTGTAGCTTTTTGGTTAAGAGATGACAAACTAACCTCACAAAGCTGAAGAACATTGACTCTTCAGCAAAGAATCCCAACACACTTCTACGATCTTCTAATTGAGTAGTTCAGTTGGAAGGAACCTACAATGATGATCTAATCCAACTGCCCGACTACTTCAGGGCTGGCCAAAAGTTAAAGCACGTTAAGGGCATTGTCCAAATGCCTTTTAAACACTGACAGGCTTGGGGCACTGAGCCCCTCTTCAGGAAGCCTGTTCCAGTGTTTGACCACCCTCTCTGTAAAGAAATGCTTCCTAATAATGTCCAGCCTAAACCTCCCGTGATGCAGCTTTGAACTGTTCCAATGCGTCCTATTACTGGATCCCAGGGAGAAGAGACCAGCATCTCCCTCTCCACTTCCCCTCCTCAGGAAGCTGCAGAGAACCATGAGGTTGCCCCTCAGCCTCCTTTTCTCCAAACTAGACAGGCCTGAACTCCTTAGCTACTCCTCATAGGTCATTCCTTCCAGCCCTTTCACCAGCTTTGTTGCCCTCCACTGGATATATTCAAGTAACTTCCTTCTTAAATTGTGGGGCCCAGAACTGCACACAGTGCTCAAGGTGAGGCTGCAGCAACACTGAATACAGTGGGATAATCATCCTTTTGACCTGCTGGTTATACTGATTTACACTGACCAAACCCCTTTGCATTTCTTTTAAGAGTTCTAGCATAATGTTCCTTTCAAACACTCTCAGAAATCACTGTGTTAGCCTAAAACTAAGGGTACAAATAAGAAAAGGTGTTTTGGGACAGCCTGGCTGGAGCCTGAGACAACTGACTAGTGAAGGACGCCAAAGTAAACGCTATTCCTAACTCACTGGATTCAAGAGTAATTAATATCTAGGATCACCAAATGAAGAGTAATTAATGACTTAGCTATTTGAGGTGTAATAATATTCAAGAGAACAAGAAAGTCTACAGATAGTATTGAAATGCAGTAAGATTTCAAAATTGAGCTTTGTGTTTTCTGTTAGATCTCCTTCCATGTAAAAAGAACCAAAAAACCCCAGCCTTTGGGACAGCAATACATAAAGAGGACAGGGACATATTTCCATATGAAAAATCTGCCTCCTTTCAAAACCCGCTCTCCTTAGCTCAGACAGAGCTGTACTGGTTCACGAGTGTTCTTTTTTCTTTCTCCCATGCAAACATATGTAAGCGTTAAAGACAAGTGTGTAGAAAAATACATTTTTCTCAATGGACTTTTACATAATACTTTGTGCTGCAATAAAAGACAGTGATTCACCTATCAATGACGTAGAAGTTGTCACCATCATCCCCTTGATCAATGACATGTTCTCCTCCTTCAACCAGCTTTTCAAACATCGCATCTAACACCTGAGACATCTGTTCCTATTTAAAAGAACACAGACAAAGACAAGAAATTATCTGCTTTTAAAATTTTACTCTTTAAATTAACTAACTGTCCAGCCTCCCCAATATGCAGATTAAAAAATGTTCACAGATGGAAAAGATTCATGGTACAGAAAGGCATGGATCAATCAGAAAGACAGTTTTATTTAGTACTCAGTGTTAGCTTTTTCCTCTTCCAGTGTTCAGAGCCCAGCTTTCCTTCTTGTCCCTGCCAATGATAACATAGATCTTGTCTGCAATATAAATTGCTCATGAGCATCCAAAGATAGAATTTCACCCTTCACAATTGTGTCATGTTAGGCAGTTAAAAGAAAAAGTGTATCCCTTACTGCAAATAACACACTTACCTGTTTTTGTCTTTAGAACTACTTTACAGAATTTAAAGTTTCAAAATATTTGTAAAGTATTTTGAAAATCTAAATTATACAATGCCTGCACAATGGTGGGACAGACATAACCATAAAGGTCTGCAGTGCTTTGGCTGAGTAAGTAAATGCTGGACTCATTGGGAAGTAGGAATGTACACAAGGCTATAAAACTACTTTGTTAATTTGAATGGAATACAAATGTTTAGAGACAAATGTTCATCATCTGAATTATGACTGTCCAGTAACAAAAAACAAATCACCAATTACATAATTTGTCTTGTTTGGTGTAAATCTGCTAAAATTAACTGTTCACATCTAAAAAAACCAAACACAGCTTATTGTGTATTAATGATATGAATCCTACAGAGATAACTTAATAATTTAAATTTTATTTTCAGTTTATGGAGCAATATACACAAAATTATCCTCTACTTTTTGAAATTTACTAAGTATGTATCATACTGGAACAAGCAGGTTCTAGTGAAAACTATGGTGAAGAAAAGCCTGTAGATTTAGATCCCCACACATTTTACAATGGCTCAATTCATAGCATTTCCAGCCACTGAAAGGTGGCATTTACTTTCCAAACAAGACCAGGCTAGAGCAAGACCTCTAGAGTCCTTCTGCAGCCCACGGACAGAGATAACCATACTAGATAGCTCAGAATCATTCTCTAGAGATTCCCCTTTCTTTCCCCTGATGACAGAGAGATCTACTGTAACTCACAGTTAAGACACGTAGTTTTTAGACAGATAAAATTAGGTGGAATGAATTCCATCCTTATTCTCTTGAATTTCTTCACTTACTCAAAGCATTTAAAAATATCAGCAGTACTGTGATATCCAAGCCTTTTTAAAAAATGGAAGTTAAATACAATTTTACTTCACAGAGTTCATTGTGTGTGGACACAAAGAACAACAGAATGGCAGCATCCATCCTCAGTACAGCTGATCATGGTAAAATACAATAAGACAACATGCAGTCTACCTAGGCCAGCAAGGAATCATTTAACTATGTCTCTATTTAGTACCTTTTTTAGTATAGACAGGTATGTATTTGGAAAAAGAAGGATCATTTTACCATCAGTGAATGGGTAATAGTTCATTTCAGAGAAAGAGAAAAGTGTGTGTGGGTGCCATTGGGAGACTGAAAATTAGGTACAAGAGTTGCCTTTTAAAAACTTCCATGCTTGAATTGTAGGTAATTACTTCAGTCTTTTCTGTTTTCCCTGTGTAAACTAAAAGGAACTCCTACAGAACCTGCAAAACTGACCTAATGTCAGTTAGTTGACTAAAGCATTTGAAGCAGCACATTCCCTTCCCCTTGCTTTACATCTGAATTGGCAAAATGGCTCCCCAGCCAACAGCCCTCGGCTGCCATTTGAAAACAAGAAAGAACAAGCAGAATGCTCCACGCTTTATGGGAGGGTGGAGGGTATATGTTATGCTCTAAACGCAAGTAATGCAAGAAAAATGTGTTATATAGACCCTGATCCTTGGGAATCAAAATACTCCCAAGACATGTTGGAAAAAAGATTAAACTAAAAAGACAGTTATTTGTGGTACTGAAGGAATAATAGTTATAATCGTTAAACAGCGTGCTTCATCTCAGATTTCAGGTTAAAACATTTTCAATCTCACAATTATGAATCAAGCTCACCAAAACACGACTCTTCTGGTACGTAAACCTCTCTGACTTTTTAGACAACAGAGTAGAATTCACAAATTCTCTTTTAAAAAAATGTTTTAAACACTTGAAGGTATTTAATACATTTGAGAGCTGTCTATTATCTGCTGAAATATTGCTGAAATATTTTAAGTTTCTAAATAAATTGCAACTAACTTAAAGACAACTGGTCCCTTTCCCAAAGCTTTCTACATAAAATTAAGATAGAGCAGACTGCAACAACCAAATCAGCCACGCGGTTTTTTGCTTTTACTGTGAGAACCACAAAACTTGCTTGCCCAGCTTGCTCTGTGTGAATCCTCTTGATTCTCTGCCAGACTGAGGCTCAATTTACTGGCACCCTCCATAGTTACTTTGAAAGGATAAAGATGGGTAATTTTAGAATTAAAAAGAAGATCTGTTTTCATACACAGAATTAATTCTGGTATTTTGTAAAATGGTGCAGTCTGAAAGCTCTTCTTCCTTAAAGTAGTTCTAGCTCTAAAAATACATACAAAATGAAAATAGGAAGAGGCTTTTCTATATCAGTGTTTGTAAATCTGCTATCTGTAATGCTGTGGCAATCGGGTAATCAATATTCTAAAGAATGATACTTTAAAAACATGATGAAAGTTTTTAACAGAAATTAAGTTTATAAAGAATCTGAAGTATTAAACGTGTATGTTGCGCAATCTTTGTGACCTACTAAAATGTCATTATCTTAATATCTTTTTTCAAATATAATAAAGCATCTATTTTTCTTAAGGATATAACACTCTAAAGAAACAAAATTAAATTATTTGAAATTTGATTGTTTATGTAATGTTTATTTATATACTCTGATTAATAGTCTCAATAGATTTTTTTTTTCCCCTTCTAAACCATGAAGCATGCTAATGCTTCAAAAAAGGAATATTTTTGAGAAAACTTTGGGAACCTTGTGCCATGAAAGCACACTTTGATCACCATCCCTTGTGATAGAGAAAATATTTTAACTTCCTTAAAAGTGAGGAGGCTGAATGGGAAATCAGATTTTCTGAAAGACTCATTCACAATACAAACTAATCTATCAAGATTTTCTTTTTATAAAGATATTTTCTTTTTTTGAAGTGTAGTTAACCACATTTCTCTCAAAAAGTCTTTCTAACAATTGGACTTTAATGGCAGAGTGATTTCACAAAACAGTTTACTAGACAAGTGAATAAATATGCCATAGTTATAGCCATCATTACTGTCTCAATCACCCTTGCTTTCAAGCAGGGATTTAACTGCTGGCAAGCAGGAGTGCTAAGGAGCATTAGCTCTCTTATCAGCATCAGCCAGCATGACATATCCTGTCATATCACCTAAAGTGGAGATGATGTGGTTTTCTTCCCTCTCTTACTTAGACCAAGGTGGTACTACCCTAGTTTTATACCAGCTTAAATGAACTGTGCTAGTAAAGTTCTGTTGCATATTTAGATCAGTCAGAATCAGAGACTACAATTATGAAGTGCAAACTCAACAGGACCAGGGGATGGACTCAAGCACTGACACGGTATAGTCTGGGCTGGCTTGCTCTTGGCACAATTGTCAGCATAGCTGGTACTGTTTTCGCTTGTGACAACTATCACTTCCGACAGACCCTGGTCATGGCTTGGAGGAATGCTTGAGCCAGGGCTTCTTCCCAGTATAAGTAAAACCACCCTGGTTAGTTGCTTAGTTTGGTGCGACTGGGAGGAGAGGAATGTGCAAGAGAGTTTAGCAGTACGTATATATGTCATACTGCACTTGCATGGCCTCAGGGACAGAGAATGGCCTCTGATCTACTTTGTGGTTACGGATTACAGAACTGAAGAAAGGTGAAAAAAACGGAAAATTTAAGAGTAACATAATCTACTGCAGTCGGTCAAACTCTGCCTTTGGGCATCCTTCTTAATTTCCTGACAAACAAAATCTGTATTTCTAGTTAAACAAATTACATTTTTCCCTGTAATTAAAGCCTTCAAAATACTGAACTAAGGAAACATTTAATGTAAAAGGCATGTGACTATGACTGATAACTAGTAAAAACCAGTTAGCATTATTCTTAGCTCTTTAGTCCCAAGACGTGTAAATTAACGCTACAACCTCTCTGGGCAACCTGTTCCAGCATTTGCCCACCTTCCCAGTAAAAAAAGCTATTCTTAAACAGATTTTTTTGTATTTCAATTTGTGAGTGTTGTGTCTTACCCCATCACAGCACCACTCAAGAGCAAATCTGGTCAACAGACTGGTGCCTCCATCTGCTATAGAAAGACACTCTTGTCTCTTCAGTGGACTCTCAAAATGCTGTCAAGCTCCTGTTTGTCCTGCCTGGTGCTACGCCGTCCTCCTCACACCCTTCTGCAGTTCCTTTAGCTGCTGGCAGCTCAGCACTCTGACCGCAGTGCATCTTCCATAGGTGAAGCCACCATTGCCCCCCAGCCTTCAGGAGAGACACCTGCCGCTCCCAGCAGCCTGAGACCAAGATGATGACATCCTGCCTACGAAACCTCTAGACGTGCCATGGTTGGCTGGTCCAGCTGGTGCTGGGGAGCACTCCCTGTGGCCCACCATCACTGTCATTGCACCTACTCTAGCAGCTCCTGCGCACTGTTTCCAGTTCCCCTTCAAACTCCCATCTGCACAAACTACCTCAACTGCAAAGTCTCTGCTAGTTCGTCCTCTTTGCTGTCCTTTGCAAGCTGTCTCTCCTCAATGGCAGTTACACAGATGCTCTTCATCAACACTTCACTAGAAGCCTGACAGTTTTCATGTGCTAAGTATTATACACACTACACACTTGTGGCAAAAAGTAGTTGCCCCCTCTCCCCATTCATCCCATGGTGGCCACATGAACCTCTAGCATCGAAGCAGAACTTTAGTGTAAAATACCTCTGGTACTTATCATTGTGCCCATGAACAGCATAGCACCTAAGCAGAGGT